TGTATAAACCCGAACGTTTAAACCACAGAGTAAAAATCATAGAGGTGTATCCATGGTAAAAATGCCTCCTGATCCTCTTGTCTTGATACCATACATGCGTTGTACATAACGGTGAGGGGTGTTGGTCTACTGCCACTGAACACGTACGTGTTCTCCGCGTAAATCAAAAGTTCTATCCTCAAGCGGGAGGAGTCGAAGAAGGAAATTTCAGAAAATTAATCAGTCATAAAACCCTGCCTAAGGCACTTCAATTTGTGTTTTTCAATCAAATTATTTCTCATAAACAGTGATTGAAAGTTGAGTAAATTCTTAACCTGAGTCTGAGAATGCTTTGTGAACTTGGGGTCGGAGTCCTAGAACATGTTCTATTACCTTATTTTATATACTGCATAGCTATATCACATACATTGTACTTCAATCGTCCACCGTTCATTTTGCATGGCAAAATTTAATCTAGTTGACAAAATAAAGTGCCCGAAAACTAATAAAGCACCAGTTTTACCTTTCTTTTAATTGAATACCGCGAATTTGTACTGAATGATTATGGATTACATTGTTAGGGCATTAATCGTGAATGTTGTTGCATTAGTCTGATTGGAATTAAGGTCGGCACAGAGTGAGATTTCAGTTGCAAAATCAGTGGACAACTTACTAACGGGTTAGAATAGCAGAAAAGCGCATCTGCGGCGGTAAAGTTTTCAAAATTTTCTCGGGGAGGGCAAGTTCCCCATTCGCCGACCGCGGCTCCGTGAACTAAACAATTGATTGGTTGTTTGTAATTCTGGTCAGCTACGTTAGGCTATAATTAAACCACACCCAAGATGGAATAGCAGGAAAACACGTTTGCGGCTGTTAAGTTTTCCATACTTACTTGGGCAGGCGTAGGAACCGGAGGGACTGGGAGGCTACGCCCCCGCCCCCCCCCCCCCCCCTGATTCGGTGAACCGTCTAGTTTTCGGGCAGTGTATTTCCATTTTTCGGGCACAAACATCAGAGAATGGGGAACATTAAGTTGTTTTTTGCTTAAAGATACATTATGTAAGATTTAGATAGAGAACTAGCCATTCTTGCTACAATAGTTCGAAATTTCATTCAAATTACTCTATTGCAAGCGAAGATATTTGAAGGTTTGACAGACGTGTGCAATAATTTCAACCATCGTACTGGTTGATCGAAGCTAAATCTCGGTCCTACATATTTGATTAAATCAAAGTATCGCTAAACCATTCTAATCTATTTAATATCGGAGAAATCTGATGCCATCGAGAGCTGATTAAGGCCTGGATCACTTAATTATTGTCTAATTAATAATTTAGAAAACATTTCAGGCCTAAAGAAAGACCTGCAATAGGCAGATTTAGCTCTTGCATAATGCATGTTTAACATATTGTAAATTGATATTGTTGTGTATTTGTGTATAGTTAATTAAAATTAAACAACCACCACACCTGTGTGGAAAAATCGTTTTAGTCAATGATTGATTCATTCTGAAAATTCGTATGACAAAGAAAATTTTACGGGCAGATAGCCACAGTCCCCCTCCCGATCGTGTTTCTTATAGGAAACTTTATAAAACTATATATACTGTAGAGGTTAGTCAAGTTCTCTAAATTATGCCCTGTTTAAAGTATTGAAGTTGTTAGCTTGTACCGGTGACAGCGAGAACGGGGCTAATAAGTAATCCAAATATGGTAATCCCATGCTTTAGAAAAGTGGACACTCGTCATCCGCTCCTTCTTCTTACGCAGGGTAGCTTCAGGGCAGCTAACCAATCAGATAAAGAAAGTACTTAATCGCTTTCCTGGGGCCCAGTCTATGACTGAATGCACTTATCCTCCTAAGAAGAAAGAGCGGGATTTAAGTTTCTTTAGGCATCATGTGAAGTTCATAGAGAGACATCATAGGGCGGTCGTAGATGAAAGTTTAGCCGCATCGGCTTAAGGTCGGGATTCAGACAGCATTCCGGCGTCATGGGGGACGCTCCCGCAGCCTCCTTGGCTTAGAGGCTAGGAATAAGACATCATTCGGTGTTCCGAGGAATCAGACATCACAGAGCGGCCCTAGAGGGATGATTAGCCGCCACCGGCTTAGAGGCCGGGATTCAAACATCATGCGGGCCTTCTTGGGAGAACGTTCTCTCAGCCTCTGGTTCAAGGCCGGGATAAAGACAATATGTAGTGTTTCAGTCGTTAGGTCTGAGTTCTAGGTTTGTTCAACTCACATTGTAGATATTATAATAACTCATAATGTACTATTATAGATGTTATAGTTTCCTGTATTTCATATATAAACATAGTTATAAAAACAAAGCGTTCTTAACTTATCATTGGAGTGAAAGTCCTGCCGATAGTGCCACAACTTATATTTAGCTTATAATTATTTGATCGTAGAAGTTTTATACACAACGTGAAAGTCTAATTAGAGAAGTGTAACCATTGTGTCACTGGCCCTTTTCTGGAGGTTCGTGACTAGGGCGTGTCACAAAATAATCCTGCAAAATCACCTTACAATAAGGCAAGATGTAATTTATTTATTTTTTGTTTTTGTGATTATCGTACATGGAAGACATGACAGTGAGAGTTATTTTGGTAAAGATTCACAGTTTAACGACGTACATGTCATACCATGTGTTATCGAATGTAATAATACAAAAGAAACTTCAATTTTGCCTTAATTTAAGAGGATAATTAGTTTATTAAGAAACTTTTAGCCGCTTATTTGAATTCAAACGCAGTGATGGAATTCGATAATTTAAATGAATCCCTTGATCAGAAAGGATTCAATACACTCCTGTTTAAGGAAAGGTTGTGATTGGTGAAAATTGTTTTTGTCCCTAAAATACATGTAGTTGTCCAAGTTTACATCATACACTTATTTAGAGTAGTACAGTGCTATAAAGTGTACGCTTTACGAATCTATAAGATGATCATCATGTATACCAACATCATCACATTTTCTGCCAATTTGAGGCACCTCTCCCCCGCACCACCCCAAAAAAGCAAACCACTTGTCAAAGGGCATCCTATACCCTATGTTAGAGATTCACAGTGCTAGAAAATAACATTTTACTAATCTAAAGGGTACCCAATTTCGAACCACGTGGTTGTGGTCGCAAAAACTTATTTTGATCCCCCCCACCCACACCCTATATAAAATTATTGTGGCATTCCATGCCCACCCCTATAAAATTTCACGCCAATTTTCGGCAATGCACCTTAATTTCAAAACGATATCTTTGATATCAACATCATTAACTTTACCGCCAATTTTAGGCATTGCCCCACCCCCACCCCCGAAAGTAAACAAATGCTCAAGGACATTATATACACCTCTTTAGAGATGTACTTTGCTATAAATTAACGTTTGCTAATGTAAGATGATCATCAATTATATCAACATTATTACATTTCCCGCCATTTATAAGCAACGGACCGCCCTCTGGGGCACTTGTCCACGCCAGGGACCCGGGGACTAGTGGAGCCCGGAAGTAAGCCGAGTAATGTTTTTTTTTAAAAAAAATGTTGGTATTAAATTAATAAAAAGAAAATACACTGTTATACTTGATCGTAAAGTATACGAAACCCGGTGACTTTACTGAATGTGGATACCTATTGTCGTGGGTACGATTAGAATCGGATTCTGTCAGTCCACGTTTATTTGAAAAATTGGTGAATTAAAAACTGTAAGCCGTATGCCCGGACATCCAAGTTCAAGTTCAACATGATTTTGAATGTGATGATTTTGGCGTCTGATAGTCACAGTTTTTGTTTTTCTATTTGTTTGCGTGATTAAACATACATTATGCAAGAGCTAAATCTGCCGGTTGGCGGTCTTTCATTGGACCTGTAATGTTATATACACTATTAATTTGACATTTATTAATACAAAAAGACCTCTTAATGAACTCTCGATGTCATCTTATGTGTCGGATTCGAATCCGATTTGCTGCTCAACGGTCATTGGTGATTTAATCCAAAAATTGATAATCAAGACTATGTTTTTATCGTACCGACTTTAGTAATGATGATCGAGGCTAGACCTAAAATTCAAACACTAATATCTCGGTTCAGAGTGGAACAATTTGACTGGAATTTTCAGCATATTCCCTTTACATTATCCAGTTTTTAACTAGTATAGTGAGAACTGTCAGCTCTTTATCTATTCTGCCATAATGCCCCTTTAAAAGCTACTGTCGAAATCGTATACACCTGATTACTATTACATCAGTAAAACTAACGCATAGTGGGCATACATGTTCTTGTTTTAAATCGCATTTTCTCTAATTTTAAAGTGACCCGCAGTAGAGAGCATGTATCTTTCAAACATTTTCGAGGGTGAGGGTGGGGGTGGGGGTGCTTGTCCCGGGGTCTGGAGGGCATTCTGCTGCCTACAGCCATTTTCTACTTACAGTTTTTCACGTATCTCAGCAGCTGCTTGGTTTTCATGTAAATGCTGGAAAGATTTACCGACCTATATAAAAATTGAAGTATCTCAATGCAACAGGTTGGTTTTGTTTGTTCTAAAAATAGATATTTGTACCGACATAATTACTACAGGCTGTTTTGTCTGTAACCCATATAAACAAGCCAACACCACCTATACATAAGTTTTGCAGGAATCTGTCCATGGGCCTCTCTACAGTCGAATTAAATCCAAGACAGAAGAATATCTTTAGTTGATTTTTGTTTCTTTTCTCAATTAAACATACATTATGCAAGAGCTAAATCTGTCTATTGCAAGTCTTGTACTTTACTGCATAACTTTCCATCACGATTTAACGATTAAATGGATAATCGAGACTATGCAGTTTATCGTACCGACTTTAGTAATGATGATCGAAATTTTCAGCAAATTCCCTTTACATTTTCTAGTTTTTAACTATTATACCGAGAACTGCCAACTCGTTATCGAATCTCCCATAATGTATCTTTAAATGTTACATAATTCATTTGAGTACATTTTCACCTGGATTAGTCCATGAAAAAATAGATATTATGTGGTAAATGATAAGTAACTTTAATAAGATTGTAATAACAGTCAAGTAAGTAAAATAGTATGTGTTATAATATTAACTAAATTTAGTACAGGGCATTTTCAATCTAATTAAAATATAGATCTATATTTCGTTTCGTTTTTTATACTTTCGATGGCCTACACTACATGTAGATCTAACAAGTTATAGTGGGAGTTCACGTTCTATGACGTCAGGTACCAAGCAAGCGACATTTGACGCAATAACGTCAGTAATTCGATTAACCAATTAGCGACCGCCATGCTTTTTAAAATCTACTTTTGCTTTGTTTTGATTTCTATCGCTGGTAATGTCTACCCACAGTTCCGCGCAAAAAAGGTCAAACGCTCGATTTGACAGACCATTTGATTGGCTGACCCCTCATTTAAAGCAGAACACGAGTTAAATAACAAGTCTTTCAGATCCAAATGTAGTAAAGACAAGTAAAAACAAAATTTTGAACTATAAAAAACGAAACGAAATTGGATCTGTGTTTTAATTAGATTGGGGCATTTTTTTCTCCTACTTAATTGATCCAAATAACCAGAAAAAATGCCCCAAACAAACATATGCAGAGCATTTCTGCTGCTTTGACCTCACTCAACTCTAATCCTATGCATCCTGAACCTATCCCTATTGCTTTACTCACTGAACACACCCCTGCTGCTCTGATTTCTGAACACACCCCTGCTGCTCTACTTACTGAACACACCCCTTCTGCTCTAATTTCTGATCACACCCCTGCTGCTCTACTTACTGAACACACCCCAGCTGCTCTACTTACTGAACACACCCCTGATTGCTGTCGTTTAAGTAGAAAACAATAATAAAAAAATACACTATGTATAAAGCATAATCTGATTTTAAAAAAAAGTTCCTCTAAAAAATAAGCTAAAACATAATCACATTTGAAATACTCTGCATAAAATGGCAGCAATGGTATAAATACTCAAAATAGAAAAATGAACAATATTACAAAATGAATGGTATTAAAGCTTTTCTATCTCTTGGATAATCCTCAAACTTCTTTTTATACCATCTGAAAATGAGTGGAAAAAGTAAAATATTCATTAAATTTAATTCCTTTAAAAAAAGAGAGAGAGAGAGAGAAATGGGGTTTAACGTCCACTCGACACAAACTAGGTCATTTTGGGACTAACTTATGGTTTTAATTTTATTGGACATGCTTCAGACATCTGATAAAAGGGGCACTGCCAAATTGTGTGACCTTGAGATATTTGATTTTTTGGCTCTGCATTTTTACACGGGTCACAGATTTAGAAAAATTGTTTGAAAAGCAAACCTTTATCGGCAAAAATCCTTATTGCCTTTACCACTTAACTTGTATGTCCGAGAAACAGTACCGGATGGAAAATGGGGCCTCATGGGGTGGGGCAAAGGCCTCAAGGCCCTTCACAACATATATCATTCATGCAAAATGCAGTGAATGTAGACTTGATTTGAGGAGTCTAATCATTGTACTGGATGATCGCGTATTGGCAGGGGGGGGGGGGGTTCCATCCATTAGGGCTAAATCACAGCACAACACAGGGGAAAATATACCTTAGTCAGTTAAACTGTTTTTCCGTTTATAAGCATTTCTTATAATCCCCTCTGTGATTTTGTTCAGTCATCAGTAAGCGGAGGAATGTCATGCGGGCCCCCATAGGTCCAAAGTCCCAGGGCCAGATCACAAAGTTAATCTGATCCTACCGAGAAAGCATACTCCTCTCAGTATTTTGTTTGATTAGACCTGATCCCACTCAAGCACTGCTGGATTGACTGATGATTCCTGTCCCAGTTAATGATTGGTTAACAGTCAGATTAACAACCTATCCATTACAGCATTACAACTACTAGTAACTGGGATAAGCAGGAATTTGAAATATGTTAATGTACATGTTTTGGACGACATGTTTGGGATTTCTCTTGCCATTGCTCTAGGGATATGCCTAGAAAGGAAATGAAATGAAATGAAATGGGGTTTAACGTCCTACTGTTCTGCTCCTACTGGGCTAATGAAGACAGGCATACGCCATACAGTGTGCTATGAGGGAAATGTTGCCCGGGCAGCGGCACTATCGCCTACTCTTATATCAAATTCCAACATCCAAGGGATCTTTTACGTGCATTCCAATGTATACACGGGACCTAAGTTTTTCATCTCATCCGAAGGACTAGACAGCTGTCCTTGTCAGCCCCTCCATTCTGCATCACCGACAAGGGAAACCACATCGGAAATGCCTAGAAAGGAGCAAACTATAGTTTCTAGTCTTTACCTGTGGTGATGAATAGCTCTTGGTCCAATGTTACAACTTGTAAAAAATGCAAAAACAAAAGAAGGAAGAGACCATGCAGCTAGGGCAAAACCAGACCATTCAATAATTTCTCCTAGAAAATTAGCACCTGATACGTAGTCAAACATGCCACCTACAACAAAAATATTTCCAATGAACGTAGAATTTAGAACAATATGAGAGTGGACTAATGCTGGGTAGTACTAAAGGGATGGGCATGTTATTTTTTTTTTCAACAATTTTCTTACACACCAAAGAAACTGCACAGTTAATATTGTTGTACCAAATAATACATAAAAATTAGTTACATGTTATTGGCTCTATCTGTGTACATAAAATTTTAAGAGAGAGAGAGAGAAATGGGGTTTAACGTCCACTCGACACAAACTAGGTCATTTTGGGACTAACATATGGTTTAATTTTATTTCAATAATTCGCTTGCGCGTAGGGGTCTTTAGCAGTGGGAGGAAACCGGAGGACCCGGGGAAAACCCACGAGGTTGGACAGGCAACCCTACTCCTTGTCATGTACAACCGGGGATTCGAAACCACGCCAGTCGACTCAATGACAGACTTTATGGTACAGCGTGCGCACGCTAACCATTCAGTCATCCAACCCCCCCACATAAAATTTTAAATGGAGACTTCTCAAACCAATTAAAACAAATCAACACTTCTTTTTTTTCCATTTTGAGTGAAGTCTGTACCATTATAAGCCTGGAACTGTACACTGTACGCTTACGTCTGGCCCCCGGATTCATTCACTTGATCTGATATTTGTTTATTTCTTGCAATGTCTATATGTCCGCAGGTTATCTTGAAGATTTTGTATTGCATGTAGTGCGGTCCTCCTGCATTTAATATTAAGTTGCCATATCATATGAGTCTGTTATGAAAATCACTGCATTATCATTAAATTATATAAGCATTCACTAATAATTCGATTTTTTACAAAATTCTCCAACCTCTAGGTATCTTGTATCCAGTTTCCCCAGGTTTTCTCAGATTTCTTAATATACCATCAGACTGAATATTAATAAACATACCAATAAAAAACAGAATCAAACCTGAAAAAAGATAGAGAGAGAGAAATGAGGTTTAACTCGACACAAATTAGGTCATTTTGAGACTAACACATGGTTCAATTTTATTTCGATAATTCGCATGGGCGGAGGGTTTTTTTTTTAACAGTGGGAGGAAACCCACGAGGTTGGACAGGCCAGCCTACTCCTTGTCACATACAACTGGGGAAACGAAACCACGCCAGTTGACTCAATGACAGAATTATGATACAGCGCGCACATGCTAACCATTCGGCCATCCAACCCCCCTAAACCTGAAAAAAAATAAGATTTTAAAACACTATTTATCAATTATTAGAAGAGAAAGAAATTAAATTCCACACAGTCAGTTACTTTTGTTTGTAACAGTAACCAATTTTAAAATCACTGAAATCAGACTGTCTAGTGTTTAAAGAGTTTATTTTAAAACTTTTAAAACCCTTGGCAGTTGGAATTTGATATAAGAGTAGGCCATAGTGCCGCTGCCTGGGCAAAATTTCCCACACAGCACACTGTATGGCGTATGCCCGTCTTCATTAGCCCAGTTTAGGAGCAGAACAGTAGGACGTTAAAACACATTTTATTTCATTTATAACTTTTAAAAAATGATGAAATAAAAACATAAATAGCTAGCATACCACAACAGAATCGGGGTGACAGCCAATTTAGCCCATATTCTTCATATTTTGCCAGATCTCCAACCTGAAGATAACCATTTACCCCACAAAACATAACAGCCATTACAAAGGTTATAACTGGCGTTTTTTTTCCTCCTTGAATCAAGAATGGAAATATAAAACTCCTGTAAGACAATATTTAATACATTAATTATACAATATAACATATGGTATGGTATTAATCATACAATATAACATATTAATCATACAATATAACATATTAATCATACGATACAACTGTACTGTATTAATTATACAGTATAACATATTGATCATACAATATAACATATTAATCATACAATATAACATACGGTATTAATCATACCATGTATAACATATTAATTATTAAACCTAAGATATAATAGTATTCAAACAATATAACATTATTTATGCAATATAACTAGGAGGTTCTTGATTTGTTTTGGATGGAGAGTTTGGCAAGTGACAGCATTTAGTCATTTAGATGGGACAAAAGTTCAGGTCTTGTGTATGTTAGTGCACCTCGTAGAAAGCTTGAAAGTTTGAATTTGATCAAGAGGTGGCAAAAACACCACTGCCTTGGCAAAATTTCCGTCATATCACACAACACTGCAAATGACTATCTTCATTAGCCCAGTTTATGCAGAAATTAGAAAAGCAGGACTCCATTTCAATTTCCCATCTAAATTTTATTTTTTCAATGTTCATTTATATAAAAGAATATAAGTAATAAGAAAATATCTGTTTAAATCCTTGGTAAACAATTATGATATACCGCCACAAAAATAGGCCTATATTGACAAGTGGACACATATGTATGGGTCTACTTGTTCAAATCCGTTATAAATAGTGTTAAAACAAGTGCAGAGTGTGTTTATGTCTTGACAAGTTAGGTTTTATTCAGGAAATAGCAGGATGCCAGCACAAATTTGCCATGGGGCCCAATTCGCCAAGTGCCAGAATTTGACCAGATTTTCAAATTCGCCCAGGGCCCAAATTCGATGGCCTAAGACATTCAGTGAGTTATGCTGGTTAATTTGATACCACTTACATGGGGTGGATATACATGTATCTATTTCATACCTGTCTGTAGCCTGTATAAACACCTTTGCGTTCTATTAAGCCCAAAGAAAAGAACCTATTTTTACCATAAAAACTATGTCATCTATACATTGTTAAATTAATAGGCTATGAAATTTTTGACCTAAATTCTTTGATGTGCACCTCTATTACTAATACTATGCTTTTTTTGCTATCTTGCTATTTTGACCTCCAAAAAATAAACAATGTTGTGTTGTTTTTCAGTCATAGAAATACTATAATATGATTCAGTGTTTGTTTATAATAAAAAATTTTATGGCAATAAAATCATTTTTATAAAAAAAAGTTTTTAAATTAAACACTCTGATTCAGTCAAAAAGTAGAGTCAAGTCTAATTCAATACCAATGGGTTAATTTAACAAAAACTGTTGCATTGAGAGGAGGATGGGGGCCCAGTGGTGATCGAGTGATCTGTAACATGTGCATTTTAGATCATAAGGCTTGTAAACGAGTCAAGTGGTGTGGTTTAGATCCCGAAGCTTGTACATGACAACCTCATGTATTTTCTCCAGACCTTAGCTATGAGCAAGAAAATTATTGAAATAAAACTGTACCATGTTTTAGTCCTAAAATGGACCCTAAACATCTCTCTCTCTCTCTCTCTTTCTCTCTCTCTCTCTCTCTCAATAATACTAAACACTACTCCCACCAGCAGTTTTTCTTTAAACAATTTAAAATAACACATGCCACAAATACAAAACAAAATGAGCTTTAACATTCCACGTTTCTGCACCAAGCGGCTAGGGGGGGTGGATGGCCCAATGGTTAACACGTGCACGCTTGATCATAAAGCTTGTCATTGAGTCAACTGGCGTGGTTTCGAATCCCTGGTTGTACGTGACAAGGAGTAGGGTCGCCTGTCCAACCTCGTGGGTTTTCTCCGGGTCCTCCGGTTTCCTCCCACTGCTTAAAGACCCATATGCCCAAGCGAATTATTGAAATAAAATTAAACCATATGTTAGTCCCGAAATGACCTAGTTTGTGTCGAGTGGAAGTTAAACCCCATTTCTCTCTTACCAATAGGCTACTTAAAAAAGAGGGTGCATTGGCCAAGAAAGTTCATCCAGATTGTTCGGCGTGGTTTCCCCTTGTTAGTGATGCAGGACGGAGGGCCTGACAAGGACAGCTGTCTAGTCATTCGGATGGGACAAAAAAACGAGGTCCCGTGTACACATTGGCATGCACAAAAAAGATCCTTTGGCAGTTGGAATTTGATGTAAGAGTAGCCCGTAGCGACGCTGCCCAAGCAAAATTTCATTCATAGCACACTGTATAGCTTATGCCCGTCTTCATTAGCCCAGTTTAGGAGCAGAACAGTAGGACGTTAAACCCCATTTCATTTCATTTCATTTAAAGAGGATGCCAGAAAAGTACACTTTGTACAGGGGTACCACAAACACGTGGTTTTGATGCATGTTTCATGCATTATATATGTGATAGCCATAAAATAAAACTCACCTTTGAAAATAGTGAAGTAGATATAAACTAACCAATATAAGATTTGGTGTAGAACGTATCTGTGGGCAGTCAGTATAGAACAGAACATAAATTGGTATTAGAAAAGATGGCATTTCTTGAACAACCCAGGCAAACTTCGGATTGACACCAAAACCCCAACTTCCACTCGTATATCGTCCATAAGGTGCTGTGACAAATTGTAGAGACAGAAAAATTATAATCCCCCATACAATATATATTAAAGAAATCACATAAAATAGTCTTTTTTCGTCTTTCAGTAGTGACAAAATCATGTTTAACGGTTCGTCTGTAACAGCCATGATTGCGGGTTTATAACTGAATTGTTGTGTTCACGTGACATCTATTTATAGCATTTCGTAACTTATCACCCGATCCAATGGCTGGGGCTTGTAATAAATTCATTATTTTTCTAGGCTGAATAAAATTTGACACAGGACTTGCTGACGTAAATTGTTAATAAAATAATGCTGATATTTTACCTTCTTGGCGTCGTGGGTGGGATTCAAGTACCGGGATTGTCTACGTACAGTACGTATGAATGTTAACCAGGTGCAAAATTATAGACAAGCGCATAATTCAAGTGTCCATTAAAACCCCCCACACATTTGTCATATCCGCTAATATCGAGCATTTGTTTTAATAGAATGTTATTCCAGATTTATTAAGCCCACAAAGACAAATATACATTAGAGCATGTACAAAACAAGCAATTGTCGATTTTGGTTTTTTTACTTTCCGTATCGAGTGAGAGGTTTTTATTTATAATATTAATATTCCAAAAAATAATAATTCTTCGGTCTATCTGTTTTTAATATACACTGAATCAGTGTTCCATTACTCTCTGCATGTCTGAATGTTAATAAAAGAACAATCGTCTTGTTTCTGGGTCCATCTTCATTATCCTGGCTCCTTTATTATATAGGACGTTAGTTCGCTAACCCAGAGGTCCCGTGCATAGGCGTACGGGGAAATTTTTGACTCGGGGGGCGGTGGTGGTTGGTGCCCAAAAATTGTAGCTAGGTTCTTAGTATGTTACATAATAGTAATAAATTAGCTGTTAAATTGGACACATTCAAGAACGCAATATTATTTTATACAACTTTTACAAAGTACAATTGTGTGCCCAAATTTTCCCAGCATTTGGTGCCCAAAATGGGGGGCCCCCCAGCCCCCCAGCTCGTACGCCTATGGTCCCGTGTTCGATCCCTGCTTCGACTGGTCCAGTGAAGACGGGCATGCGCCACACCGTGTGCTATGAGGGAAATTTTGCCCGGGCAGGGGCACTATGACCTACTCTTATATAGGATTCCAACTGCCAAGGGATCTTTTACGTGCACGCCAATGTACACGGAGCTCGTTTTTTCGGCCCATCCGAACGACTAGAGGCTGTCCTTGTCAGGTCCTCCGTCCAGCACCACTGGAATGGTACGCCGGAGGCTCCGCTGGGGGGCATCAAATGGGCACAAAAATAGACCAACTTTACTAGAGTAAAATTTTGCATAGAATACGATGCCGAGTGGCAATCAGTCAGCCGTTGGGGCGTTTTGGAGATATTCGGGGTCAAAGGTCAAATGTGTTCATCCTTGTATAATGAAAAGAAGCTGAAAAGTAATCACACTTTCAATAAAAATGTAAACTAGCTAAATTCACCTTTGTAATTTGTGACCTTAGAGGTCAAAACGTCACATTTTCTGTTTTAGCACTGATTACCACCCGGAATCGTATTCTACGCAAAATTTTACTCTAGAAAAGTTGGTCTGGTTTTGTGCCCATTTGATGAACACCCCACCGCACTGAGCCTCCAGACTATGGGGAGACCATGTCGGAAAATCCCGATGACATTTCTTGGCCAATGCAGGGATCGAACACGCGACCTCCAGGATAGCGAGCGAGCGTCTTACCCAATTAGCCACCGTGGGTCCAGGTGGAACTTTAACCCCATTTATTTTAATTCATTATCATTATTATTTTTTTTTTCTTCTATCTAGTTTATGTCGAGTGCACGTTAACTCCATTTCTCTCTCCCTTTTTTTTTAGAGGGGGTGGGGGTGTTAAGGCATAATAAACAATAGTTTTATAACAGTCATTTTATCGTCGCCAAAAACGTCTTTATATATGAATGCAACAAATTGTATCAAAATATTCAATGAATTTAATGTATAGTTGGTTTCGTGGCAATTTAAACTACATAGAGTCTAAAGAACGATGTAGGGGCGTACTGGCGGTCGGAGGTAGCGCCCTGAGCCTTGTCCCGTGGGAGCCCCCATTCTAGAGAGGTCAGGGGGAGTTCCCTCGAAACAGGCGCGAGAAAACTGACTCTAAATGGTCCTTTCGAGAGTGTAGCCTGAATAAAATCCTTCTGAGACTGCAATTATCTACCAAAAGTGATGTACATGTAAGACTATCAAGCGATCACCCCCCACCCCCCCTGCTCAGCTACATATTTTTTTTTTGGAAATCAACACTTTTTATGAGAAAAGTTTCTCGGCCGTGTGTTTTATCCTTTATGTGATATCACAATTAATGCTTTGCATCCATGAAATTGAATCACAATGTCATTGTATTAATTCATAATAAAAATTGACGTCAAACGAGGTGTTGAAAATTTCTCTGTTTAAAAAGCTCAATGTGTATGTATATACGGCAAAATGACGATAGAGACCATGCGGGGGGGGGGGGGGGGATACATTGTCTCAGGAACCTGGCAAACCCCCTCCTGCAAAAATTCCTGGACAGAGAACAAGCTAAAAAAGGGCGATTGTTTTGTGAATAAGGGGCCAGAAAGTTACAGTCCGATAGAGGGTCCACAACCTTGGTATTACATACTTTTACACTATTTGTGTTCAAGGAAGGGCCATTTTGTCTGGAAGTTTCAGTCCGATTTTTACGAAATGCGAACTCAACCTAATGAGGATAAATTTAAACGATGTTTAAAATCGGATAAAAATTGTGACCATAATCCAAGAAATTACAGTCAGATATGCGCGAATATCGAAAGGAACCGAGGTCTCTGCGATATAAACATATATTTTAAGTTTCATCAAAATCGGATCAAAATTGTGAGATCTAGAGTGTCCATCGTATGAAACTAACGCACGAAAATTAAATGGTAGCTATATAGCGTTCATTTCTCTGCATGTAGAGTGGGTCCATTGTTCAGATTGGAGTGTCAACAAGCTAAACCGTGATTTGTCGACCCATCAGGGGCCATAATCCATAAAGTTACGGCCCGTTACATGCTAATATCGAAAGAAACCGTGACCTTTTGGGGTCAAACCTACATTTCAATCGGATAAAATATTGCAACCGTGTAGAGTGTCCACAAACAAATTGTGGACGGGTGGACAGGAGCGACGATAATATACGTCCACATGAAAATGTGTGCGTTTAAAAAGGGCCCCCCCCCCCCCCACTAAGTGAGAACATTAACCTCTTTAATTTATTAGTCCCCGATCCTACTATACCCACTGGCTTCTACCCAGCCAATCCCTGGGATGAAATATACATAAATATATGTAGGCCTCCTGTAGAAATGGTTCCACAATTGATGTCTTCCGCCTTACTCCAGCTTAACGATACATTTAATTGTAGTAAGGCCTCCTGGTGCTTATTCATAAAAAGCCATATTTTTCTATGACAAAATTTCATATTGTCCAGTCCCTTCTAAGATTATATATTTAAGGGGATACAAATTAGACGAATGGTCAAATATAGATTTATAATACCCGGTTTGAGTATTAAGAGGTGATTGGCGATTAATCAATCATTATACGCATTAACCGATTTAAATACTAATCACTGTCCCATCTTTAGAGTCTAATTGGTCATTCATTTCTATCCAAGAAGATTATGGCCAAAATGATATCTAGCGATTTCTTTTAATCGTATACATTAGAACTATTAAAGGAGCTAAATTTTTAATATTTGGGACCTCGAACTTGACCCAAATGGGTCGCAACGCATACATTAATGTAATCTGATTGTATATAAACTGATTTTCATTCAATTGTTTCCGTTTGGACACCGAAATACGGCATGAATCTCAACTGAATAGCAATTTCTATCGTCTGGTTATTCCAGTCTATTGCGCACGCCCTCCAGATAAGATATGGCGTCAACGTTTGTCAGAGTTGTGGAATATGTCTAACCTCGTTCTTTCTGGTCACTTGTTACAAATGACGCTGAAACGTATACTATGGTACACGATTCGTCTACCATTGGTAAAATGTTTATTTTGTCTTAAATATTGGATATCAGAAGCCTACCCTTTCCTGGTAAGATCACAACATCAATGTTGATTTAAATTGACAAATAATTCGTATTTTCAACGTGTAAGATATTGAATTATAGACTTATATACTTTAATTATTAACACATGCAATAGTCCTACCGTGCATACCAGTTATCCGACTGTTTACGGATCACGGCTCCTGCGTGTGTGAATATGATGCGATGCTTTAAAGCGTCTACTGCAGATAAGATAGGAAACTAACATCTGACACCAAGTTTGACATCAGCAAGGTGACCACCCGTCAAAATGCTTTCAAGTCCCGCATCCCAAAAACCCGACAAAATGTCCCGCAATTGCTCACATGGAAGATTTCTGTAACAGTAATATGCGAGAATCTAGTCTCGCGATAGTCTATAATTTGAGTATTAGTCTAGTCAAAAAACTGACAGATCCACCACAAATTCCTTTAGAAGGTTTTTTTGGTACCAACTTGTAGATGACCTTTCCCTGTACATCATATTAAAAAAATCCACCGAATTCCACTCCCCCTCCCCCGCCCTGCCACTGGTGCAGGACAGAGGGCCTTGGACAACGTATATTCATTCGGATGAGACGTAAAAGAATCCTTGGCAATTGGATTAGCGCTGGTCCCGGGCAGAATTACCCTCATCTATAGGACACAATATGGCGAATGCCTGTCTTCATTAGCCCAGTCGGACGTTCAACCCCATTTCATTTACATTTAACTCAAAGAAATATATGTTTTAATGTAATAAACGTAAGGAATGGAAATTATTGCCCGCCATACCCTTCTCTTGCACTACAACTACAACTACAACCACTACCACCAGCGCAACCGACAACACCACGGCCTACACCATACTCAAAGAAAATAAAGTTAAACATACATTATGCAAGAACTCGTTGTTCTTTATTCTAACAACATCTCTTTATATCCGAACAACGAGCTGTTCCATATTCGCGATTACCGAACAACGAGCTGGTTTGTTGTTCGGTATTCGCGAATAACAAACAACGAATCTATTTCCTAATACATTGAAGTTTTATAATCCCACGAGGCCCATAAAACCCACCCGGC